GAAACAACAATCAAAAGTTTTAAGCATTGAATAGAGAGCACTAACTAAAATTTGTGCTGGCTATAGAGAACAAATTACAACCCGTTTTATTTTCTACTGAAGCTGAGTACAAGGTTATTTATTTTTTTAGTCATCTTCCTTACGCTCCATAATTTATAGCTTCTAAATAACATAAGGTTTCTATAGTTGAGAATTTTGTTCTAAATGCTTGTTATGTGCTCCAGCATGCTATGGATGGCCTCATTATGTTAATATTCAAGCAAAAGGATGTTCCTTATTTCGTTATATCATTAGGGAACCACTTGCCTGTACCGTAACAAGACCAGTATTAAATTTAGCTAGCCTAAGGTAAGGATACATTCCATTCTTCTTTTTGTGTACTGGCGTGTTTGTGTTTTTTTTATATATTATCAAATTTGGTGTCAGATTTATTACTGAGATAATCAAATCTCTAGTTATTTCAAGAAGCAAGATTGATAAAGGAAGTAAGAATATACATGTAACATCGCAATAAAATCCAATTGAATCGTCAAAGATATCATTCAATTTTCCGCAGTTTGTAAATCCTTCCATCAAGGGTGCTGAATTTGTAGATGTGAAGGTCCATATAAAAGTGATGTTGAGATTTCTGCTTCAGTTAATATGAATGGAACTCTTCTTTCTGAAGATGCATTAGTTTCCCTTGATACACAATCCACTTGGTCTTGGAGTTCTTTACCCAAAACAAACAATGGTGTGGGAAGAGGGTTCCAACTACACCACTCTTGTGGAGATTGGCGAGACATGCTAGATGTGTTCTCTCACAGAAAAATTGAGGCATGGCTCCAGAAAATTTTGATTATATGTGGACAAAAGGAAGAAATTACAAAAGGGAGGAATTTACAAATCTGCTGGAAAAATGATAAATCTGAAGACTCCAGCTACGACTCTGAGCCAGAACAATTTGGTAGAATATATAGTGGCGCAACATTTCTTCATCTGTGCCTTTGGCTTCTTAGAATTATTTAGATACAATCTGCATTTATTTCTTTTTATATTAAATTGTACTCATTTTTTTGTTTATTGACACTATGGAAAATATGATTACAAATGTATTAATGTATATAATTTTGTTCTTTAATTATTATTGGTTTGATGGTAATCAAATGAATAAAATTTTAAGAAAATTAAATTGATATTTATGCTTTTTTACAGCGTGCATATGTATGCCATAAAATGAGGCCTCATTTACAGCATGCACTTGTATGCCATAAAGAGCAACATAGAAAGTCAATCAATGGCGTACATTCCGTTTTTAATGCATTCATTGTACGCCGTAAAATAAATTGAGTATTTATGACATGGCTTTATATGGTGTTCATGTGTACGCAATAAAGAACATTTTACGGCATGCAATACATGTCATTAAAAGCAAACTCTGTTGTAGTGAAATGAAATACTTCTAGAATAATGGTACTTAAAAATAACACAATATACCTTTCAAATGTTGATTTTGAATTTATATTGTTTCCAGTGTAATAATTGATATTTTCACCAATATTCGTATATAAAAATAATGCTTCTTTGGGAACAATATAATATAACACTGTCATAAATATTAATCATGCTCTTTATAAGTAACTATGCATATTTTTTTGGATTATTTAATTTCCATAAGTTTTGATTCCATTAAAAAAATGATATTATTAAAAAATATTGATATTTAATAAATTATGCATTTTCAGGAGCAACAATTAAATCATCAAAGAATTTAACCAGTCTAAAATAAAACTTCACAAATCATGTAAATCCAATCTTAAAATATAAAAAAATGATTTATAAGTATAAACTTACTTGGGATAATAAGATAGTAATATGGGGAAAGTAGTACTTGAATTCGACAGATTTTGATAATTTTGAGTATTATCAAATTCTTTAAAAATGAAAATTTGAAAAATTATGTTCTCAAAAAATTCATCAAAATTTGTTCAAGTAGCAATTTTTCTACCATGAAACATTGGAGTTTTATGTTAACCATTTAATTTAAAGAAAAATGAGTTTTGATCTTTCTCTGCAAATTTTACGATGATCTAATTGAGATATCCATGTTTGATGAGAGATGCACATGCTATCCAAATTCTACGAAATTTTTGTAAGGTTGATATCGAACTTTATCTCTATTTTGGTTGAGCCAATTCATAACGATAACATGTCATAAAACTATAGAGAAAGACAAGAATAAGAAGAGAGAATAATAGAGAAATACACAATCAAAATTCAAGTGTATATTGTTTAATAACCATTATCCTTATATAGAAGGTTTCAATGGGAATTATAATAAGAACACAATACACTCTTCTAAAGTAAATAAAACTTATATATATATCATGATAAAATTAAATAATCATCAATAATTATTTCATAATTTTATACCAAATGATTATGTATTAAAATTTTAATTAGATTAAAAGAATAAGAGAGAAATACATATAGTCAAAAGTTAAGCGATATTTTATTATAACCATTATCCTTATATAGAAAGTTTCAATTGGAGTTATAATCAGAACACAATACACTCTTCTAAAGCTTTATTAAAAAAAAAAAACACTTATATATATATCATGATAAAATTAAATAATCATCAATTATTTCATAATTTTATACCAAATGATTATGTATTAAAATTTTAATTAGATTAAAATAGTTTTTTTAAGTTAAATATAAAATTATAACATAAGTTAATAATTTCTACATAACATTTTCAACGTATTACGTGTCTTACTTTTTCTAGAGATAATGTTTCCTCGCCTTCGTTTGTAACATTGAAATTTTATCCTTTTTTCTGCAATATAATATTGTCTATTACTCCATATCAAAGCACCTAAAAGTATTATTGATGGCACTTCGCAGGGAACTGTGTGCTACATACATAGAGCGAGATTTCCTGTATTGTTGTTTGAGATATGGATATCGGCGGTTGTGACGGTTTGTAGTGGCAGTGGTGAGCGGTGCAGCACCTTGGGGGCGGAGGGGCGACGATGAGTGGTGATTGGTTGATGTTGGGTTTTGGGGATGGTGGGAAAGAATGAACATTTCTTCTTATTTATTTATTTTTTAATTCAATTATTAATGCTACTTGTACATTAATTTTTACGTCATTCTTTACATTGTGCCACGTGTCTTGACATCGTTGGACAGTTTTCAAACACAACACACATTCCCGCCCATTTCAATTTGAAAATTAATGGAATGTGAAGCATGATGTAACGAAAACAATGTACAAATGGCTTTATCCTTATTATAATTGTTTTATTATAGGAAATGTGAAACTACCATTTTATCCTTCAGTTGATTTGTCAAGAAGAGTCAAACTTTTAACTTCTTAGTTGACTAACGGATTAGTGGACCGATTCCATCCATTTCCATCAACTACAATAGAAGTAAAAGGTTTGAACTGCGGGCACAAAAATAAAATTTTTGGGTATAATCTGTACTAAATTGAAAAGCTGAGGACCTTTGCTACAATTTTTCCTTAAAATTAAAATGGGCAAATAAATCTTTTTAATCTATCTTAGAGATAATTTTAAAGAGAAACCATAATTAGGAATGCTTTATATTTAATTTTAGAATAAAAATGCGAAAGTTTGACATAAATATGATAATTTATAAAGGTTAGTGGCCTTTCCTAAAATTACAATGTAGCCTAGTTATTAGAAATTATGGTGTGAATATATTTTAACATTTTGTTTTGTCTTTAAAGGCTATTAAATTACTTAGAGTCCTTATCCCAACAAAATTTTAATAGAATAAAGTCATTTAGCCAGGCTTAAAATAGGAAGTGAAGAGATAAACTGATGTATTATAAAATGATTTGGTATTTTTGTTTTAATTTTTTAAACTGTCCAATTATGCATCGACACGTATTCCATCTAAATTTGAGCCTGAATATATAACTTGATTGTTTTTAGTAAGAGATCTCATTAATTAAAAATAGATCCTTTTTGGACACTAGATGCATATGACAACGTAGCGAACACAACAATTACGATTACATGCATTAACGAAGACTTTCATTGCAAATATAAATTAAAGAGTGTTTACTATATTATGTTCTTATTCGCTTGTTCAGATTTTTTCAGTTTAATGGGTTTTAGTTGTGACCTAATTTTTTTTTTTCCGTCTTTAAAGACTTAAATTGCTTGGAGTCCTTATCCCAACTCATTTTCAATAAGGAATCTCATAATAGTAAATGAAATTCATTATGAAAAAATCAATTTTATTTATTTATTATTATTTTTTTTAACGCTAGACTCATATGACAATGTGACGTACAAAACAATTACGAAAAAATCTATTTTATTTTATTTATTTATTTATTTTTTAACGCTAGACTCATATGACAATGTGACGTACAAAACAATTACGACTACATGCATAAACAAAGACTTTCATTGCAGATATAAAGTTAAAAAAACGTCTATTATATTAATGTTCTTACCCACTTGTTTAGATTTTTTGAATTTGGAGGGTTTTAGTTGTGGCCTCCTTCTTTTTCTCTCTCTCTCTTTTTTTTTTTTATTAGACTATTAAATTACTTGGAGTCCTTATCCCAACTCAGTTTCGTTAAGAAATTTTATAATAATAAATGAAATTCACGACCAAAAAAAATCCTTTTTGACATTAGAAGCATATGACAATGTGGTGACATAACAATTACGACTACATGTATTAACAAAGATTTTGATTGCAAATATGACTTTTAAAAAAATGTTTATTAAATTAATATCTACTTTTTAAGACTTTTTGTTTTGGTATCTTTTAGACTTGAACCTCACTTGGTGATAATAATTTCCATTTGAGGGAGCCATAATGGACTAATCATTAAATTAGGCCCTTTTGGCCAAATTTCAATTGTTCCACATACAGTATCAATTTAGGTTCTAATTTATAGCGGGTATCGCTGTTAATGACTATGCACTCAAATCTTGATTTTAGTAAGAGTTTCTAAGAAATAACCCATTCTAATAGCTAGGCTTCATGACAACTCTTATATAGATGAGTCTTTCAAGGGTGCGTGTGATCCACACCTCACAAGAATTCTCGCCTCGATACTCATTCAAGATCAACCCCTTCCTAATATCACATTATTGTTAGCACTATCACAATAAGGATGAACACAAATAAAATAGTGCTATTACAAGTCATGTGGTGCGATTATTTCTTCAACATTGAATCTTTTTCATGGGATCTCTAATTACAAATGTTATGTTACTCCCGGAGGTGACTTTCCTATGAGCTTAAACTCATCCCCTTGATGATTTATTATGTCCATTATGGACTATAATGTATTTTATGCCCTTCTTGGATAATAATTTTGGCACCATCAATATTTACAAGCTCTTATTCTACACTTGCACATCTGCAAAGTTACCTAAGAAATTTTCAAAATATCTATAACTCATATTTAATTATAATAAGATAAACATATGAAATGTAGAAATTGATTTCTAGTAACACTTTCAAACAAATGCATTCGTTCAGCTATTCACCTTAGATCTACAAATTTCATTTTTAACACTTTTAAAAGTAAGTTGTTTTAACAATAAAATATATAAGGTGCATCGACATGAAATCTAAATACCTCCGCATTCCAAAGATACAATAATTTTTTTATCAAATATTCTTAAACTCCATATATTGCAAAATAGCATTGATCTTCGTAAGAATGATCAACCATCAATGCATACCATATACATCACTTTTGTGAATGACTATAGTTAATCATTATTTATCATCGTTATGATTATCAAGATGATGTCAATGATGTAGAACATTTAGCACACATATATCCAAAAATTTAATATCCCCTAACTTTTGGAACCTCCTTTCACTTTTATTTTCAACAACAAAAGGATATACTCACTTATTAAAATGAATGACTAAAGGAAATTTTACAGTAAGCAATTAAATATTTTCCTTGTATACTTTCAATCAAATATTAAAATAACAACAAAATTATTGAGATATAGCACAACCTGGGAGGATTTATAATTTCACAAAATATTAGCTCACAATGAATATGAGTAACTGAGATAGAATTAAATAAAAGTATTCATGTTCCATTTTTGCTAGTAACAAAATTTACTACCGACTAATGACTGAATATAGGTTCTTTTACATTTACCCATTTATTTCCCACAAGGATCGAATTTATGGAATATATAAATAAAAGGCTTCAATTGACAAAGATAAGTTTACCAGATAGCCTTTTAAATCTTTACTTACCAGCCTCAAGGGTTACACATTTGCTTTCAAAGCTAAAGGCTTCCAAATCTGATTTAGACATTTCTAGATAGTGCATTAACTTTAGCAACACCAACACCACAACATAAATAACGAAATTGAATATCATGATCCTTCGAACTTCAATAAAATATCTTCCCTGTGAAATACAATCTGTTCACTATATTCTTGCTTTATTCTCAATGGTGACTTCGAATCCAAGAGACCCCAAAACAAATAGAGTTTCTCGATCAATTTTTTATCACTCTTAAAAAAAATTTTAAGTTTTGAAAATTTAAAGCTTAAGTTAAAAACAATTCCCTACAACAATGAAAAGTTATCCATACATAACCTACCTTATTGTTTAAGTTTTGTATTAAATAAAACTTGAAACTAAAATTTTAAACAATAAAAACTATAATTTTGAAAGTTGAAACTTTTTATAAGTTACAAATTTCGATAGAATAAAATCACTATTAATCTTAAGGGTTACTTTTAGCTATAAATAAAATTATGTAGATTAATTTTGAAATTATACCTCTTTTAAAATAATAAATAATTACATTATTGAAAGTTAAATCTTTTAACCATTTGTCTAAAATAAAATCATGGAATTTCCATAAAATCAATGTAAAGATTTCAATATTTAATTTAATACACATGAAATAATAATATACACACACAAATGGTCACTTGTCCTTTTCATTCTTAACGAGACATGAACATATTTTTCGAAATCAAGGGGAAGTTTTTTTTATGTAATATCATTAATTAATTAAGCTTTCAGAAAGACATAGGAAAAGGAATTTTTGTCAAGAAACTGTAAATGCATAGTAGCGTGTGAAGAGATCTTCGATGCATCATCTATGGACAAAAATAGTTCCATGGCTTCTTCTAGTAGGAGGATATATTCCTATATTGAAAACATAAATTTTTGAAAGTACTTTTAATTTGTGATGTGCAAAGGTGCAATTTCTTGATAAGGCCTTCAGTCAATATCCATGTCATGCTTTCATTTTTTGTAAAAACAATGTTAAATACTTTTTTTTTTCAAGTTAAAATGAATGTAATTCATAAGTCTTTGGAGAGAATATAATAATAATTATTATTATTCAAATAATAAGTCTAATAATTTTAGCAAAATTAGTAAACTTAAACATTGCATTTACAGTCTGAAATCGTAAAAGAGCAAAGATATAATATGGACTAATATCATAGCTTACCTTCAAATATTGAGGAACAATCGAGACGGAGATATATTGATACTTCTGACCATGACTGCTGAGTTTTTAGGATCATATGCATATTTCATTTAAATATGCTTCAATTGATATTCATAAAATATAATGCAATGATATACTTTAAATCAAGATTTGATGATCACGGCTTATTTAATCTACAAGCAAATCATCTCAACACAACTTTAGATTGTTGAAAAAAATGGGAAATTTGTGTGTAGATAAATATAGCAACTGATGAATATAAATAACATAATTAAAATTCATAAACATAACAAAATGGTAACAATATAAACATTATAATTCAACATTAATATAACATAAAATAGAGAAGAGATTTAGAAACCAAGTATTGAGAGTCACGTCCAAGACACTATCATAAAATTGTGTTGTTTCCCCTTAGTGTGAGTTATTTCAGCACTATACAACTTGTTGCGGAAGTTCTCTCAAAAGATCTTCAAACGGTGGTTTTTCAGGCTCAGTCCAATGTACCTTTCTCTACCAACAACCAATCCAAACGGCTCCAAACCACAATCAATTGATTCACCTTGGTTGCTATACAATCTTACCCACGTAGGAAAAGAAAGGGATGATGATTTATTGCCACAAAGGCTAAGAGAAGACACCACAAAGGTATACTATGAAAGAACCACCAATTGCACAGTTATACAAGCGTTCTGGACACCTTTTTCTCACACAAAAGGGGGGCAGCCGGGATTCACTAGTTTCTTCTCTCAAAATCACACAATCATCATATCAAAGAGGCTAGGGTTATATTCATATATATACTCTAGGGTAGGCTTTAAGTTGGGCCATTAAAGGGTAAACAGACCAAAATTCAAGCCATCCATAAGGAATACAATTGGGCCGGGTGTAGCTCATGGACTTGGTTGTTGGACTTATTTCATTCATCGGCCTATGCCTATGAAATAATATTAACTCACGTTAACATCATAGCCCGAAATTTATTGGGTATCAAAAACCCAACAAATCTCCACCTTGATGCCCAATAAATCTGCAAGCAATCAAAACACACAGTTAACACTTGCATAATCAAGGTAGCCAATAAAATTGGATTATAGACCTTATCTCGTGTTTCCAACTTGAAACACATACCATACCTGCTCCATGTACTCACTGGGGCTAAGGTCAAAAACACCCAAGTAGAAGCAAATATTTAACAGTAAACAATTAAGAGCAAATACACATGCGATGACTATATACTATAGGATAACACACACAGATCTTTTCAGAAACATGTTCACATAGAACCATAGATTAACACCAAGTCAATCAAACCACGGTCAACCACATATGCAACATATGCATAAAATGACCCTAAGAAAAGATCTCACCACACTTATCCTATCCCATTCCGTGTTGCTCACACCACGAGAACACATATCTCCTCTCATCGCCCACCACGCTCACTAGACAGATCACTCAACTCATGTCTAACTGGTAAGTTACAATAGATCCTAAGTTCACGGGATAATTCTCTATCTCCACATCACTTCTCCTAACCTACGTGGATAATGGGTCTCCACCTAACAGAAGTGATAGAAGTGTCTCTCTCACACTCCACCTGATCAGGGTCTCTTTCCAGATAAAGGATCCTAGACATTTGATCACATCTCCAATCATGATCCAAATGTCACACTCTACATCCCTCGGTACAAACCACCATGTACCCTTAGGCATCTATACTCCACTTCACCAAAAGACACACAACACACTGCTAATGCATCCTAACCCACTATGCATGCAAGCAATTACACTAAGTAATCCTAATGTCTCAAATTCATGCAAATGCACATATCAAACACATTGAAATGTAGCAGATAATCATGCAACAAAATTTAGACAATCACACACATGCAGAAAGGATCACACATAGATGCATATGCAGTGACTATGTTTACACTCAATAAACCTCACTGGGGTCATAACTCGACCCCTCAACCAAATTCGTCTCACCTCTCATCTTTCCCTTCAGCTTATCTTTCTTCTTGGGACAGTCCCTAATAAAGTGTCCAGACTTACCACAACTGTAACACCTTTTACCAGTAGACTTGTCTCGTCCCTTGCTCTTCTTCTTACTACCCTCATCACTCGAGTCACTACTCGAATCACTACCGTCTTGAGTTCTACCCAAATTCATTTGCTTAAACTTCATCCTACTCCTCATCATATGTAACTCGCCACTCCTCTTATCCTCTTTTTCAGCCTTAATCTCCATCTCTTTACTCTTAAGTGAGTCTATGACAATCTCGGGTGTTAAGGTATCCCTACCATACTTAATTGCATTCTTAACTTCCCTATATGAATCAGGCATGAAATTAAGCAGGATAATAGCCTTATACGTTTCAGATACCTCTTCATCACAGTTAACGATGTCTTGAACTAATTTGTTAAAGACATCCAAATTATCATTAAGATCCTTTGAAGGATCCATTTTAAAGCTGAAAAATCGTTTAAGCAAGTACAATTTATTAGGAGTTGACTTAAGCAAATAGAAGTCCTCCAACTTTTCCCAAAGTTGTTTTGTAGAATCCAGTTTTCCTACTTTTCTCAAAACAGTATCAGATAGGTGTAAAATAATTGGAGTGTATG